CCTGTATAAAAAGTTTAGAATATATATGCCGAAGTTAATCAAGAGCGCATATCATTATATAAGGTATGGATCATATAAATAAGCTGCGTTGTGTATATAGAAAGTGGCTTGAATGTTTGTTCCCTTGACTCGACGCTGGACCCTAAGATATATCCCAGTCGGGCATACCCCATTTGTGCGCTCTTGCTGCCTCTTCTAAAGCTTATATTGTCACAGATAAATATATGAAACTAATATACAGTAATTCCCTCTTTTTCAGCATATAATTTAACTACACTAAATGTTACCTAAAGGTCGGAAAAGTCGGTAAGTCCATGTTGCATTAAATTTATTATATTCGAATATTTTATTTATAAATTAATTAAATTTTCTACTGAATTAATTACGATATCAACACCTTAATGTTTGATTATTATCTGACTTATTGACATTGAGCACAATATATTCTGTGATTATTTTGAGTTTATGCCGCATTTTGTTGCAAGCCGCACGCACGCTGGGGAAATTAAACAAACATCTTACGAAAAAGCAAGGCAGACGGATTTGCTGTTTCAAGTGTCCTTGCTGCTGCAATTGATGTCCATTGTCCTTGCGTGTTTAGTTCGAAAATTAGATAAATATAATTTGAATTTGTGTATAAATTGTTGCAACTTTGCCGTTGGGAAATCACTTGGCGTTGTCATGAGTTAATAGACGCTGGGAATTGTTTGGCTGCGTATGTATTATGGGCATGAGATCTCACAATAGTTGAAGTGGGCCGTTTTATGACAGGCAATAATAAATCAATGCATGTTAAAACTGGTCTACAATTTATATATATTTTTATTTATATGTAAAGGAGTCGGGCCTGCCAGTTTGGCTGATGCTTCCTTTTGGGTCGTTTATGATATAACTATATCGCCCAGTTAAAGTTGTTTTTATTTGTTGGTCAGAACTGAAAAAGTTGAGAAAGCAATAACTACTCACATTGTTTGTTAAGCATTAAGTTAGAGTTAGATAAGCTAAAGCGCATTAAGAATATATAAAATAGCTTTTGCGAACTGCCCGACAGCTCTTAAAGGCTCAGCGAATGCAATTGTGCTGCGGTTTTTTCTGTGTTTTTGCTTTCATTTTGTTTAGTTTACAAGAGACAGGAAACGAAATAAATTTAACATAAGCATTTGCCACAAACAGCAAAAGGAAAAACTGGAACACAAGCCTTAATGACTTTTGTCGTTGCAAAATAATTGTGCGTGAATTTTATGCTGCGAAATTTGTTGCCAAGTTTTGTGGCCAGAGAGAGCCACAGCCCCAGCTCCAGCCCCAGCCAAATCCAAAGCCAAAACCAAAACCCCGAACTGTAGCCGGAGGCAGTTCGCTTTCAATGTCCTGCTGACATTTAATTTCACGCACTGCCGTCTATTTTGTGCCTTGGCAACACTTTTTGACTTTTATGCGACAGACGCGTTGGTTCGTGCGTTTTCCCCCCGCTTTATACATTTTATTCAATTTTTTTTTTTTTTTTTTTGGCCAACTTTGTTTTTTGGCACTTGACGCATTTTAGTGACTCGCCTTGCCAATGCATTGCTGTGCCAGTTCTGACTCTTGTGGTCCCATTCGTAATGCGATACTTTCGTTTTTCGATGCCAGGCGCAGGCTTTGTGTGCTTTAAGCACATCGCTTTGTCTCCTATCGCAATTATCCAGTACGTTAAGCGGCGACAGCATTTATCTCCAACAATGATACTCAGGTATCGTTTACAGGCTCACAAAACAAAGGTAATTATTGCGTCATTAGAGCGGGAGCTACCGGAACTCTATACGCTCACAACAGTTGAGTGCATGAAAGCAATCAAACACCAGGTAGAGTGCGCTAGCCGGGAGTATACGACTAGTGTATGCCCTGTCAGGTCAATCTTCTTTCTACTTGTGCTCTACACTGTTAAACAGGGTTTCCATAGGCTGTTATCTGCTCAATACAGAGTTCTCAATATCGATTTTTATCGATTGCATAAAAAAAACGGGTCGGTTATTGCTGATACAAAGCAAAGTTCGATCTGTGCAGGAAAATCTACCTTCAAGATTTCACCTAATGTCTCCTTTTGCTGCTTTAAGCATTATACCCCAAGGTACAAGGTATAAAATCCCCTTCTAGTTGTATTTTGCTCTATGGAAAGCATTCGTGACCATCAAATTTAAAGCTTTAAGCGAAAAAATATCACATGGGAATGTATATCTTATGCTTCGTTGTCTTTGTCTTTTCTTTTTTTCATCCCTTTTTTTTTTTTTTTTGTTTATTTTAATTCTTACTAAAATCAAACAGAGTATAACTAAATGTAATCTGCAGCTGGTCTCTTGATGACAAAATGTTTACTCCCAGGAACTAAGGTCTAATATGTACACAGTGCAAATGGAAGCGAAAAAATAAAGTAAGGAAAGGTAAAGCGAATGCAGCTATAAGTGGAAAAAGTGAAAAAAAACCTGAAGATAGAATTGATTATAAAGAAGTAGATGTCAAAGAAAATGGTGCGCAAAAATAGAATTCGATAGAGGTTAATCTTTCGGGATGCTTTTGCCTTTCTGTAAAAGAATAAAATATGTTGAGTATATATAAATATTGTTTATATTTCATATCTTCTTTAATAAATCTTAGATTTATTTGTGGTTTATTCATGGATTCTAAAACATTTATCATCGACTCTACTCTTAATTGACTAAACAATATTATTTCTACTTTCCAACTACTTTTACAATATCTCTTGTAAATATTCTTCAAAAAACTGTGCTGAATTTCAATAAACAATTCTAGATATTCTTTTTTTTTTTGTGTCTTCTTTTCCTCGTGTCACATCTGGTTTCCGTAGCTATTTATTTATATTTCGCGTTTTCGTGTCGTACGCTATACGACTGCGCCCCTCGGTCGGTTGGGCGGGAGGTGGGATGCAGCTAAACGCATCGGGATTCGCGCGCAAAAAACAACTCAATCAAAATATTGCATTTAGAGTTAGAATAGAGCAGAACATAGAGACATAAGAGATAAGATGCGATGAGATAAGATGTGTATCCGGCATGTAAATAGTTGAACGGGATAGCTTAACAGGTTAGTCTATGAATCTAGAAATTTAAATAATAATCATGCGTGGCTTTTTCTTGATATCTTTCACAAAACCTTTGATCATCGATTTTCCCACTTAAATGTTCAATTTTCCCAAATGCAATCTGAACTCTCATTTTCGAGCCTCAATTTTCTATCTCCTCAGGAATTGTTCTCTTTTATATATATAGAAATATTCTGCTTCTGTTATTATTTTATGCCTCAACTAAAAGTGCGCACAGTTCTAGGGCAAACTGTAAAAGCTTCAATGAAACTCTTCTTTTTTTTTCAGTTCCGCGACATTTTCAATGTCATTCGCTTCAGAGTTCTTTTTAATGCATTCGCGTTTTGACATGCGCTATAAATTATCGAAATTGAAATTGATATCGAGCGTCGTTTCGCTCGCGCGCTCCCGCATTCAATCAATTCAAATGCCCAAAGTCGAACAAATTTTGGGCGATTTTCGCTTTCCCCTGGATTTTTTCTCTCCGTTTCTTTTTTTTTTGTGTGTGTTATTAATCTGTGCCCTCAAGCGTCCCGCACCACAAGGCCAGAGTCAAATCAGAAGCTGAATCGGCATCAGAATCAGCTCGAAATGCCGCTTGGAGCGTCGCACAATTCCGCATGGATTAGCACAGCGAAAAAAACGTGGGGGAGAAGAAATGGAAGATGTGACTATTGAATGGACGTTCAGCATCATTGGAGGACCTGAGCTGCAGCATTGATTAGAGCCTGCAGCGTAGCAAAGTCCTTTCATTTGGGGCGAAACATTTACTTTGTACGCTTTCGCTTGTTTTCATCTTTTGAGACAAGTTCTATTGAGTGTTTATTTATGACGCTGGGCAAAGAGGCAAAGTAATTTTTCATTATTTAAAATAAAGTGAATTGCAGTTGGTTGTGCTCTGGCAGCGTCTCCTTTTCATTTATTCTTCATAAATAATTTATTAATTACAAAAGTTTCGCTTCACTCTGAGCGCATGCAAATGCTCCCCAGACTCGGCCCCGTTTTGTCCTTCAGTTTGCGGGCAACAGTTGCAAGTGGAAGAGTTGCCGCTTTGCCAAAAGCTCTCTGGCCAAATATATACCCGAAAAATGTGTACAGCTTGCAATGTCCTTTTGCGTCGTCTTGGCCTGCAAAAAGTTTTATTAGTTGAAGCTGCCACTCGGACTTGGACTTGGGTAGAATGGACCGGATCCGACTCTACTCTGCTTGGTTAGTTGAATGCCTGGGCATATTTTTCATATTTTAATTGACAAAAGTTTTTGGGTGCAACTGGACTGATGGGTTTGTGCCAAGTTTACGTTATTGCTCACATTCACACACACAGGCACACACTCGCACACACATACACTAGCCGTAGAAAGGGCATTTCGGTTTATCATCCTTGTTTTGCAACTGGGACTGCTGCCAGCAGCTGTCAAATTTTTACAACTGCCACATCTGTCTCGTGCTGCAACTCTATTAAAAATGGCCTTTATTGCAATTTCCATTTGTGCCCGAATATAAGTTCACTCCTAATTTGTTTGTATGAGCAAGTCTGATAAGATTTATATAGAACATTTAACTTGTGAGAGAATTCTCGTTCACAGTGTTTGAGTTGTGAATAAATATATCGTATTTGGAATATCGATTAAAGTATCGATACGTTTGCTTAGAAATTAGTTAGCAGGCTTTCATTTTAATGCTCTTTAATATCGCAGGTTATCCTCAAGTTGTAATCAAGTTAATCGTGTTTAATAAGCTTTCGATATCATGAGCTTATATCGACAATCAGTTATTGATTTCATAAACATTTTTCTGGAAAATCAGTTATCGATATCAAGAGCTTTCATCGACAATTAGTTATCTATTTATCATTTTTCGATATATATCGATGTTTTTATTTAATGTTTATATCGAAATAACATTAATCGTTAACGAGCACTTTTATATGAATAGAGCTGTCATAGTCTTGTCTCATCGATAGATCATTCAGCTTTCGACTATTCCCCGTCCGTTTCTTTAGTCTTGTCTTACGGCAAGTTCTCCATGTTGAGTTTATTGTTAATTGACATACAACTTTTGCAATATTTGAAATGTATATACTTCAGTGCTCGACTGCCGCCAGTTGCACTCGTCTGGTCGGGGGCTGGCAGTCCATTATTTATGCTGAAACCGTGCCAGACTTGAGCTTTAAGTGCAACACATTTCGGAAAGCCGCGAGACTGAATTTGTGAGGCATATGTCAATAAATATCACAGAGGCCAAACCAGATGCTGCGCCAGTCGCAACACACTCAAATTGTCACAAGAAATTTTCACGTAAGCTGTTGCATAATGCATTTGTCGCATTTCCAACGAAAATAGATGTACAAGCCGAGGAGGCAGACTCGTCTGGCAGCTAGTTAACGTCACGGGGTGTCTGTGAATTCTTGACTAATGTCATTTTCATGCCTTTCGTCAGCTATGTCAAATCAAGCTGCGAATTTATATACACGCATATATGTGTGTGTTTGCAGATGCTGAAACTTGGGCTTGGATTATTGGCTTAGGCAGTTGTCAGACCATTTACCCTATTTCCACTTATATTTGATGTCATTAATGTGTGTTCACTAATGAAATTAACAGTAAATTTAAGCGGCTGCTTTCCACGTCTAACTCAATTTGTGTCGGGTAAGGGCTAGCAGGGGGCAGGGTACAGGGTATTGCGGGTAGTCGCATGCTTTTAGTGCGTTTGCTGTTAACAAAGGACACTGATTGCTGTTGACAAGACACCTAATGATGTGTACATAAAGTTATCTGAAGCATTGTGTAATGCACTTAGCAACGCACATTACACTACGCCCAACTCGAAGGACAACCCCGACCTGGTACACACACACACACACACACACACACACACTCGCAAATGTATCGACAGCTGGTGACGTCTTTTGTGTTGCGATGTGTGTTGTGAGGCGCAGCATCCTTTAGCCTATCACTTACATCATTACGCTCAGAAGTAATTAAGGCATTTTACACTTATGTAACCCGATTCCATATTTTAATTGGTTTCATTAAATAACATGTCGTTTTATAGCACACAGCATAAGGCACTGAAAAAGTATGCCAATTGCCAGAAAGCACTCCAAAAGCATATACCCTATAGTAAAATCTCGTACAACAGTTATGCATGACGTTTTAGGTAAAATGTTAGACTTCTGTTAAGTAACAGAAGGGATGTTAACATGAGCATGCGATAAAAGGGAAGACATTTAGGCTTCAGCTTCTGAAGTGAAGAGTCGTGACTTCTTCGACTAATAAATAACCAAATTTATAAAGTAAATAAATAATTGTATCTAGATTAAACTAAGAGAATATTAAACCAATTTAATGGTTCCAGTTGCAGAAATGATTGAATAAAAATAAAAATATAAATGTTGGCATGTGTAGGCTGTAGTTAGATAGATTAATCTCTTTATTAAGTGTTGAATTCACAATTTTGCATGTTCGACAATATCTCGAGAGAGGCGACGCTTTCGCCTCTCTCTATATATACTTACATATATATACGCTAGCCAGAAATAGAAAATGGAAACCAGGCTTAACTAAGAGCTAGACAATTTAATAGGACCATCAATTCAGCTTATGTGCTTGAGAACAGGGTATACAAGTTAATAGCCGGGCTGAGCACCAAAAAAAGAAATACATATAAATATATTTATAAAGTGTATATATCGTATAATGTTTATGAAACCGCAACGTCATGATGCTGCCCTTGGGCTGTATTGTGTTTTAAATTGCGTTGAATTTCGCCATAAAATTGCGACGTGGCGGTCAAATAACACACATACGTCGTGTAGGTCGCGCTCGTTAAAGAGCATTTAATAGCATAGTCAATATTTATTAAAGACATAATTAATAAATTGTGCTATCTGGGGGGGGTTTTTTTTTATAATAGGATTAAAGCGCAGCAACTAAAAAGTTAATGCATTTAGCTTGCTGCAACTCTTGTTGCAGCTCATTTTTTTTATTCAGTTTTTTTTTTCACGCTTTGCGCTCAACTTTTCCACACGAACGCGCCAACTTTAATTTCCGGAAAACTTTTGCAGCAAAAAAGGGCTAAAAAGAAAAATTGCAGATAAGTGCGTGTGTGTGTGCGCTTGTGTGTGCGCTTGTGTGTGTGTGTGTGTGTGTTCGCGTTTGCTGCATAATTAAGTCGCTCATTTTTGATGACATTGAGCAAAATTCAAACTGAATTTTGAATTCTTTCTTACGTCCTCGCATTTAGTTGTGTTTGTCAGAAAACTTAAGCGTCCGCCCCTCGCCACGCCCCCCATTGCGCTTGGGGTTTTCCGACTTAATAAGAAACTCGTAAGCCTTAACCAGGCTAAAATACGAGTTGCCGCCCCCAACTCCGCAAAATTTGGCTTGTCAGGGCTAATTGCCTTTAGGCCAAATTGGCTTAAGGCTAATTTGTCAGCACTGATACTTTTGAGTTTGAGCCTGTTTATCTATTTGCTTATAATTAACCAGAGCCTTGTATGTGTGCTGCCTCCACGACACGCTCTGATCTATTCCGCACGCAGCATTATTATCTTTTATCTTTTGATGTGTGCCACGAAAAACGTATGTTTTTGTGTTTACCAAAGCTAATTAATGTGCATTTTTCTTTATGGTACATTCAAGTTCATTTCCAATGTGACTGAATGTTAATTAAATATATATTATAAATACACATTTTGATTGTGTAAACATTTTGCTGTTCAAAAACATTTAAAAACAAAACTGCGAGGGTTGTAAAGAACATTATTTTATATTATTTTTGTCCCGGCAAATTTCTGTTAGAGCAAAACGTGGGCCTTGATCGCAAAAGCAGAAATAATCAAGGTATGATAAAAAGTCCATAAAGACAAGATTAAGTCAGTTATATAGCTATGTCAAGCTTTTATCGCAGTTGGGTTCATCTCTCGTTCCATTTGCAAAAAGAAGAACATATTTGTGCCCCGTTTTTATCAATATTTACGCACAATGAATCTAACAGAGCTCGCATTAAAACAGACAGATGAATGTTCTTAGCCTTGTTGCTCTGCTCAAGAACATAAACCTTGCGGCTTACTTGAATGCATTTATTATTTCCGGACAGAACTATTATATGCTCTTGGGCCATGACAAAAGCCAAATGAAGAACTAAACACATAATTCGCATAAGTAAGTAGCTTTTTGGAGAATATGCTAATTAAATTGGCGCACATTTTCAGTTATCATAAGTAACTGTTTGAGCCGCAAGACCACAATTACCACTAGAAATATATATATATATATATATATATATATATATATATGTTTATGTATTTATTTGCACAACTTAAAAGCCGACCGCAAAAATTTGTTGGCATATCATTAAAGGCTTAAAGGCGCTTCACGTCTGCCTTGTGGCTAAAACACTTGAGTCTGTCTGCTGGAAAAACGCAACTGATTGACAGACAGACAGACAAACTGACTTGTTGGCTGGCTGGTTGGCAGGACGCGCAACTAACTGGGCTAATAAATGCTTGAGGCTCGAGCAGAAATCATTGAAACGCGTATTTGACTGCGGCTTATAGCAGCCGCAACTGCGGCCTTGAGGTCAATCAGCGCAATTACTTCGCAGCTTAGTCTGCTACAAATTGTGCAAGATTTGTGAACTATAGAGCGAACAATCTATCTATATATATAAGTATTAAGAGTTGGGCCTGTCTAGTGACAAGGCATAGCGCAAATTAAAGAGTTATGAAGCGAAAATTTGTACGAAAGCTTCCCTTTGTGGCTCGAAAGCGAGTCAGGGTTTCGGAAAGCTAGTGGCAATTTCGAGCACTTCGAGCAATTTCGATTTATCTTATTTGTTTTTAATTAATTTGTGGCCTGCCTGACTAAGGTGTCTAAACGTTGGACAAGCGGGGAGAAATCGCCAGTTCAATTCGAGCAATTTTAATTATTTTTAATGTTGTTTAATTTTAAGTTTCTAGCCTCATTAACTAAGCTGTCTGAGCGTCGGACAAGTAAGTAGAAAGTCGCCAGTTCAAATCGTAGCAGAAATTGCAATTTTTTCATATTTATTTAAGTTGTTTGTATTAGAAGCACATGTGAATGTTAAATAAGCTTTAACGCCTTTTAATTTCTTCCAGTAAAATAATATTTTAAAGCGCTCTGCAACACATGTCACAGAGGCGGATTTTTCGGGGGATGTGGCAACTTGTCAAACTTTAACATTTATGTTTTCGGGTGTCGCATTTTATTTAGCTTGCTTTTTTATTTTGGCCTGGCTGTCAGTTGGATATGTGTGGCATTAAAAACTTGACAATATTGTCACAAAATAATTTAAATTATTAAATGAATGCAAACACACACTCACGCACGCACACACATGTCAAAAACTTTTGGCACTGTGCAAAATTTATGGCAATTGTAGTCTAAAGATTTGCGTCTGGCCGCTTGCGGGGCCAGAGAAACAATGTGTAAAATATTGACAAACCCAATGAGCAAATGTGCCGCATTGTTTGCCAAGTTTCTTTAGCTTCCATATATAAATCAATAACGTGTCTGAAACGTGGCTAACACGTTTGCCTCGCCACCAGCTCGAGCTGCCTGCCTTTCGGCCTGGCCTGGCCAACAACATGGCCGCAAACGCAATTGTTTGCACGTTGCGTGGTCATGTTAGTCGGGTCAATAATTGGTTTTTTCGGTAGCTGCTGCAGCGGGCAAACAAGTTATTTGTGATTGCCAAATGATTATACGGAATTATCGTAGGCAAAAGGCCAAAACCTGGCCAATGGCCAGCACAAAGCCAAAAAGAAACACGAGTAAATACATTTCAGTTGGGTAGAAACGACTGCCGCATGCTCGCTCTTAATATTCTTAATATCTATGATTTTTGTAAAACTCATATTTGTCAAGTTAAAATAACAAAAACCTCGTCTTTCGTCCTTGATCCCTTAACTTCATTATTTTTATGCCAAGACTTTGGCCTACAGCGCCAATTGGGAGGCTCTCTGGGAACTGTTGGAGAATACTTTTAGATAAAACAATCCAAACAAAAATAAAATTAAGATTATTATTGTTATTTCTTATTTGAATCCGTGAATACTTTCAAATGTTACGAATTTAATATACCCCTTCTCAATTTGTGAACAGGGTAAAACTAAATGGTCAAGAGAAAAAGTGAGTAGAGGGATAGAGAAAGGGAGCTTAGCTAACGACAGTGTGTGCAAATTAATGTTTGAAATAATGTTTGCAGCTTCTAACAAAAATTGAAAATTTTGATTAATTTAAGCTGCGGCTACACTGAGTGTATTATGTATACGCACCGTGTGCCTGTTGCTAATGAACTGAAAGCTTAAATAGTTGGCATTCTCTTGTGGCCAAGCGAAATAAC